ATAATTTTAAAACATAATATATAAATGAATAGGTTTTTATCCTATATAAAAATTTTTCAAACGATATTAAATGTATTATTATTTACTTAGAAGAAGTTTAGGCTACATATTGTATTGAATAAATTACTCTTGACATACATCCTGTTATAACAGACAATTTTTAATTTAAAACATAAAACTAAAATGGCGCTAAAATAAGTCGGTTTAAATGCGAATTACCAATTTGCCATCGCTATCTTAGCCATTAAGCTTCCTGCCTTGTTGCTGCTTAGCTATATGTGCGTGTGTGGCAGAGGCAAAACTCTAGAGAGGACTAAATGGCGAGTAGTAGAGGCGGAGGCGATGACGGTTGCAGCGGTGACGGTGAGGCGGTGGTCTTTTCTGCTCTACCAGAAGGATGCATTGCCAACGTCCTCTCCTTGACGACTCCTAAAGATACTTGTAGATTATCGCTGGTATCGAAGATGTACCAATCGGCGGCCGAATCCGACACCGTTTGGGAAAGGTTCCTGCCGTCTGGTTACGAGACGATGATTCCTGAATCACTGCTGCGTCGCTCAAAGAAAGAGATCTATCTCAGTCTCTGCGATAATTACATCCTAATCGATGATGGCGATAAGGTAAATCTCTTTTTATCGTCCCAGATAGTTTGTCCAATTTCTTTTGATTCATTCGGTACGACTCCAGGAGCTTCTACTTGTTTGAATTTCTGAAATTTTCATTTTACAAATTTATCAAATGACCTGATTCTTTAATTTGGAGATCTTGTTTGGTTGATAATCGCGTTGTTGAATAGAGTTTGTCATTGGAGAAACGTAGCGGAAAGAAGTGTTACATGTTGTCTCCGAGATCTCTCACGATTATATGGGGATCTACTCCAAAGTACTGGCGGTGGGGTTCTTTTCCTGGGGCCAGGTCTCTCTCGCCATCTTTTTCTGATCTTGAGGTTTTTTCAATTCTATTTGGTTACAATTCCAACCGAGGGATCTCATAATACCGATTTCTACAAACAGATTTGCAGAAGTTGCGGAGCTTTTGGGTGTGTGTTGGCTTGAAATTCGTGGTAAGATCAAAACTCGATTACTGTCTCCAAATACGATGTACGAAATCTATCTTGTGTTCCAGTTAAGACCAGACTATTACGGGTTTGATATTAGCCCGTATTTTAAAGTCGGAGTTGGAGTCTCCGGCGGGTGGATCCAGGAGAGAATTGCTTTTCTTGATGAAGAACATCATTTTGGCGATGGATGTTACCCAAATTACCAGATAGATTTTGACAACAAAATGGAGGTTGAGTTGGGTGACTATTATCACGTAAGAGATGGAGACGACGATGAGGAATTGGAGATTTATGTTTTGGAGACGACGGGAGGCCATTGGAAATGTGGAGTTGTTGTTCATGGGATCCACATCAGGCCTAGACAACACCCAGGTGATTCGGATTTTGCTTTCAGCGATTTTGCTCGCGGACGGTTAGTTTCTGATTATAACTTGAAGAGATAGTTTGAAAAAATATTTTCAAGTTGTTATTTTAATATTAGAGTGCACAGATCCATGACTTGTTTCACCATGATGTTTTGGTTCATTTGTTACTCTCAACTAGCCGCATCCTGTTGGGAAAACAGACCGAGTGTAGTTTTTAAGGTACTATCTCCTTTTAATAATCTATATGTATATATATATATATATATATATCTTGACATGGAAATTAGTATAAATTAAATGGGTTCATGCATTAAAGTATCAACAATGAATTAAAAAATAATGACAATATTGATTTACTAGTTCAACAATGAATTAAAAAATGTATAAATACAAAAATTAGCTCATATAATAGCTATGAACAACACGAATTTCTTTTATTGGTGACTTACGAATCTACCAACACCTTGTTCTTCTATATTTTTTTATAAACCTCCCTCCCAATATATACTTCAACAAGAATCTCAAACAATAATCAAATAAGGGTAGATTAATATAATATAACTATCTGATAAAATTTCTAGTATAATTCAGTAAATAAAGTATATTACAAAATATATTTTAAAAAGTGTTGACTTACTCATGACAAGAAATAAGTAAAAAAAAAAAATGTCGGGCATGAAAATTAAGAAGAAAAAATAATTGAAAATAATGTTAGAATCATGCAAGTTCCGTGATAATTATATTAACAATATTTTTAAAAATAATTAATATGGAAATTAATTATTCACGGGATAGATACATTAATAATTTTAAAATATAGTGTCTAAATATAAATATTATTTGTTATGTAAAAGGTTAAATATATTATTAACCGAGCGAGATAATTTAGATTGTATTGAATCAAAATTTACTATTGGTGTAGATATATACCCTCTTATAACAGACAATTTTTAATTTAAAACATAAAACTAAAATGGCGCTAAAATAAGTCGGTTTAAACTTAAATTACCAATTTGCCATCGCTATCTTAGCGATGAAGCTTCCTGCCTTGTTGCTGCTTAGCTACATACGTGTGTGTATACACGTATGTGTATATATATGGGCGTGCGTGTCTGTGCTTAAGAGAAGGACTAAATGGCGAGTAATAAAGGGGGAGACGATGGCGGTTGCAGCGGCGACGGTCAGGCGGTGGACTTTTCTGCCCTACCAGAAGGATGCATCGCCGGCGTTCTCTCTTTGACGACTCCTAAAGATACTTGTATATTATCGTTGGTAGCGAAGGTGTACAAATCGGCGGCCGAATCCGACGCCGTTTGGGAGAGGTTTCTGCCATCTGGTTACGAGACGATGATTCCTGAATCACTGCTTCATCGCTCAAAGAAAGAGATCTATCTCAGTCTCTGCGATAATCCCGTCCTAATGGAACATGGCGAGAAGGTAAATCTCTTTTCGTCGTCTCAAATAGTTTGTCCGATTCCTGTTGATTCATTCGGTAGGAGTCCAGAAGCTTCTACTTGTTTGAATTTATGAAATTTTCATTTTACAAATTTCTCGAATAACCTGATTCTTTAATTTGGGGATCTTGTTTGGTTGATAATCTCGTTGTTGAATAGAGTTTTTCATTGGAAAAACAAAGCGGAAAGAAGTGTTACATGTTGTCTCCCAGATCTCTGACGATTATATGGGGATCTTCTCCAGAGTACTGGCGGTGGGGTTCTTTTCCTGGGGCCAGGTCTCTCTCATCATCATCTTCTGATTTTGAAGTTCTTTCAGTTCTATTTGGTTACATTTTCAGCTGAGGGATCTCATAATGCCCATTTCTACAAACAGATTTGCAGAAGTTGCGGAGCTTTTGAGTGTGTGTTGGCTTGAAATTCGTGGTAAGATCAAAACTCGGTTACTGTCTCCAAATACGAAGTACGCAATCTATCTTGTGTACCAGATAAGACCAGAATATCATGGATTTGATAGTAGCCCGCCTTTACAAGCCGGAGTTGGAGTCGCCGGCAGCGAGATCCCGGAGAGAGGTGTTTATCTGGAAACAGAACATCAATATGGCGAAGGATGTTACCCAAGATACCAGATAGATTTTGAGAAGCAAATGGAGGTTGAGTTGGGTGAATATTATCACGGTGGAGATGGAGACGACGATGACGAATTGGAGATTTATGCTTTGGAGACGTCGGGAGGCCGTTGGAAAGGCGGTGTTGTTGTTCATGGGATCCACATCAGGCCCCAAAAAGACCTAGATAATTGTGTTAGTGGCAGACATTTTTTTACTGATACTTAAATAAATAGTTTTTTTATTTCTGCATAACTAGATGGGGTAGGATCATATAGTCTCCATTTTTGCCTTACATCATATTAGCCTCAAGCAGGATTCTTTCGAGAGCTTGCCTTTCTGTCTACAAAAATGAAGCATCTGGGTTTTACTTTGATTTTTATACTTGGAACTTCTGTGCTGCTAAGGGATGTTTTGGATTATGAACAATTCTTTTTACTTAATGGGTTTGTTGTTTTACAGAGCTTCGAGAGTAATATAGGTTTACTTCATTGTACAGATCAATGAGTTGTTTCACCATAATGTTCTGACTCATTGGCTACTCCAACGAGCCATCGTGTTTGGAGAACGAACGGAGTTTAGTTTTAATGTACTCTCTCCTTTTAATATATATATATATGTGTGTGTGTGTGTGTGTGTATATAGATTAAATGGTTCATGCATTAAAGTATCTTACATTCCTTGTAGCAAAGGAAAATAGAAGTATATTGAATTATTACATTTGTGTTGATGGAGATTAAGAACCATTATTAGGAATATTTATAAAAATTCAAAGTGGTAATTACTAAACTCTGATCAATAATTGAATCGGTGATAATTTTGATTTACTAGTTCAACAATCAGTTAAAAAATTAGCTAATAATAATAGCTCGCCCGAGTGATAGATACATGGTTGCTATGCTGGTAAGATCATTGTGCACGCATAACACAAATTTCTTTCTTTAGTGACTTATGAATCTAACTCTTTATTTTTCTATAAATGTTACAATTTAGGTTTATCTGCAACTTTAGTTTTTTAGACAAATTTCTCACACTGTTAGAATTTATTTGGATAGCTTGATTATAGACGAGAAGAGACAGAGAGAAAAAAACGAAGAAGATATTGAGGAAGAAGAATAAGGGCAGACTCAAGCTTGTGAGTTCTTCTAAGTGGTTAGTGTAGAAAGAAAAAAAGTGAGACTAATTATTTTTTTCCTTGTTATCATTCTAAACTAAGAAGTGATAAAAGAGGGAGATGGAAAGAGAACAGAGATTGGAAGTTTGTTAAGGTTTGGAATCGAGTTTTTAGGGTTTTATTTTATTTTTTTTTTTTTAGTGTTGAAGTTGAAGAAAGAACATAGTGAGACTTGATAAAGAACTGATTCAAGGAATAGTTGTAGTTCTTATCGGAAACGATTAAAACTTTTGAATTAGGAGAAGAAATTGCAAGTAAAGAAAAAGAGGGGAATACAAGGGAAATAAAATGTAATTAATTTATAAATATAATTTTTTAATTTTTTAATTTTTAATTTAGTGTAAAAAAAAAAATTGATGGAATATACAATTGAAAATAATTTTGGAAAAAAAGGGTTAAATTTTGGATTATGAATGTATTTTTTTAAAAAAATTCGGAAACTAGAGGTTAAAATATAATTTAAAAAAATTGTGTCACGTAAGACACCCAGTCAGCAGACTTGACGAACCAGAGTGCGTCGCGTGGCGAGGGACGCTGATGTAGTGCCACGTTGGTGATCCGCGTGCCCGCCATCGGACGGTATAGATTTGCTCCCGCGTGCACAGACGGCCCCGGATGCTTTCCCTCCCCAAACGCAATCGAACGGTCAAATTTAAACACAATCAACGGTCAAGATCTACTTATTATTTAAACACAATCAAACAGTTCAGATTAGATCGCGATGAACGGTCCATATTCACTCTCTATTTAATCGCGATCGGATGGTTCAGATCAAACGCGATTGACGGTCCAGATTAAATGGAGACAGATATAAATAACCCTCTTTACAACAAACCTTAACCCTAACCCTAGCCGTCAGACACCCCCCCCCACCGGAGAAGAAGACCCAGCCGCTAGGAAGGAAGGAAGTCGTGCCGGAGCCACTTCCGACCGTCAAAAGAGGTAAAAAAAAATTCTCATTTGCTCGAAATTCAATTTTAAACACCTATATGACCAAATCGGAGTAAAAAGATGGACATATTAGCCGAAAATCACGGACAAAGTCCGGCGACACCGCCACAAAAAAATTACAAAAACCGCATTCGATGAGCCTTTCCCAATTTCCATTTTGCATAATTTTTTAACCATTGTAATCACCATTTTCTTCTCTACAGATTGACTGAAGCAAAACACCTAACAGCAAAAGTGAGTCAGCAGAGCCGCTGCACCTGAGGACCCCGCCGTTGGTGAGTTTTGATTTTTCATTTTTTTTGGTCAACCGAGGTCCCTTAATATATTTTCTCGCAGGAATTGATGCAAAACTGGCCAAAAATAGCAGGGGCCCCTTACTTGTTGAGCGTTTTAATCTCCAAAGAAAAATTCAGGGAATCTGGGGATCGCCAATAGGCATAGTCAACAAGTTAGTTTTTTGGGCATCAAATTGAGTAAGAATCTCTCACCCTATTCTCTATTATGGAATTGAAGTCAAATTAACAATAATACGGTATTTTGTGCAATTTAAAAATATCTATAATTAATTATGGTTTACTAATGGAGCCAAAATTAAAAATTATTCACTGTTGATTTTGTTGATTGATTTTACAGTTTAAATGCATGATAGTATCTAATTGATCGATTTTATATTTTTGAATGCGTGTATTATTTATTTTACGTGTTTACGTTTGAATTGTGAAAAAAAATAGAGATTAAAGGAAAATGAAAATTTGCGCGATTAAGTGAATAGATGAAACGACAACTTTACTGAATATCTTGAGAGATGGTGGACGGACTGGGTCCATAGAAAACTCTACTATGAACATTGTCTCCTACCGGATGGAGTATCAAGGTTTGGTAATTTAGTGCTCATATCGGACGAGGTATGAGAACAACCCGTTTCACCCTCATATTGGATGAGGTATTGAGGTTTAGTAGTTTGGTGTTCATACCAAACGAGGAATGGGGATGACCCGTTAATTAAAAATATTAAAGAAAAGGGTTCACAAGTTATTGGGACATCCCTATGAACCCACGTAAATACCAGTAAGCTGATAAAGGATAAAATTGTTATTCCAATCAATTACATATAAAATCATGATCTATGTTATGTTATTATCTCTATAAATTGTTTTGTAAATCTCGCTACAGTAAGTAGATGGTAAAAGATTTCGTTTATGATAAATAAATTTGTTTAATTAAGAGCTCAATTAGTTGTTTTGATTTTTCTACCAACCTTTATTTTTGTGTTGGTGAGTAGTGTGATATTCTTACTGGGGTAGTGTACCTCATTCGTTATTTAACCATTTCAGATCAAGAGGATCAGGATCTAGAGCCTGATCCACAAGAGGGTTGCGAATAGGATGCTAGTTTTATTTATTTTCTGTTTATTTCTTTAATTTTTTGTATTTTCTTCAAGAGGGTAATTCATGTAGCACTTATTTGGTACTTTAAGTTATCATGTAAGGAATGTAAACCCTAATTAATTATTTCGCTTATGTACTTAATTTATGATTTATTTTCTTTAGAATTCCAAGGTCGCTACAGTTGGTATCAGAGCCTCGTTCTTCGGACCTATTTCTTACACAAAATCCTTAGGAAACACAAAAAACAATAAATTATCACTCAACCGTTCTTTATGAAATGCAGGTGCAGATAGATGAGGAGAAGAAAACCCCCACTAAACCAGCCTAGGAGGGTTCATTTAGAGAGGATGTTGACCGGTTATTTGAGATGCTGAAAAGACTCATTGCTACCCAGCAGACCTGGGAGGAAAGGAGAGAGATACCTGACCCTCTCCACTGCCATAGGTTGAGCCACCCTTGCAACGAGACGATCCCGAGCCACTCTAGTACGACCCTGCTCATCTACAATACCCCCCGGCACCACCATAGTATGATTTGGTGCCTCAACCACAGTACCACACGACACTACCACAGTATGGCTCGGTGCCTCAACCGCATCACCCAGCACCACCACAATGCAATCTGGTGCCTCTATTGTATCATCTAGTCCCACCGTGGGACCATCAAGTCCACCCGTAGCACAGTTCAACCCCTCTTTCACGGGACCCGGTTCCTTCCATGATGGACCCAAGGTACATTGAAAGGTATAAAAGACTAAATTCATCTACTTTTATAGGGGGATTTTCATTTGAAGAAGCCGAGTACTGGTTAGCTGAGATAAAGAAGGCCTTCACGACGCTTGGGATGATTCCCGAACAGAAAGTCATCCTTACTACCTACATGCTGGTGGGAAAAGCAGGCCGCTGGTGGCAACTCAAACAAGCCACCATGTCTGTTCCAGTCACTTATGAACAGTTCCTAATGACCTTTCATGTATAGTACCTTTCAGAGTATCTCCAACATCTGAAGGAGATGGAGTTTGCACACTTGGTCTAGGGGGACATGATTGTATCAGAATATGCTCGCAAATTCCTAGAGTTAGGCTGGTATTCCCTTGAGAGCATGATGGATAAAGGTATAAAGACTAGAAGGTTCGAGTGGGGTCTCTGTCCTGAGATCAGACAGCAATTGTATGTGCTCAAGTTCAATACTTATTCGGCTGCTCTGGCTGAGACACAGTTAGTGGAGAGGAACCTTCGCACATTCCCTCCAGCAGTAGGGAACCTTAGGCACTCGGCTCCATATTACAAACCAGCACCTACTGCACCTGTTCAACAAAATAAGAGACCCAGGCCGATGACTCAGGCTCCCCCTCACGTTCCAGCAGCAGGACGCAGTAAGACCTGTCAGCACTGAGGCAAGGATCATGGGGACTGACCCTGCTATCGCCTCAACAACACCTGCCGCATATGTGGTAGCGCCCAATATTATGCAGGGGAGTACCCGAGGAACCAGAACTAAGCTAGATCTCCTATATAGAGATGGGCTTACAACCTCACTCAATAGGATGCAGAAGCCAGCCCAGACATGGTACATAATATGTGCACTATTTGTAACCATCTTGCTAATGTTTTGATTGATATTGATGCATCGCATTCATTTATTTCACATATTTTTTACATCAAAATTAAATGTATTACTTGAAAAGTTTGATTCTGTGTTGTTTGTGTCTACTCTTGGGAGTAAGATACTATCGAGGGAGGTTGTGTACAAAGCCTGTGTCATAGATATAGTAGATAAAAAGTTGAGTGTGAACCTAATAGAAATTGATATGAGGGACTTAGATATAATTTTATGAATAAACTAGCTAGCGGCGTATCACACCACTGTAGATTGTTTTAGCAAGAAGGTTGTACTTAACCCATCCTAATGAGGAGTTATTTATAAATTAATAAAATCCTTTAACATTTGTTTCCTTCATGGTAAATTTTCTTATTATCAAGTACTTTAATCCAATTATTTTCTCTAACTAGGCAAACCTAAGAAAGAAATTTGTATTTAAGAGATTTCGGTAGTTCAAGACTTTCCAGATGTGTTTCCGGATGAACGACCTGGACTGCTAGTGGACAGAGAAATCAAATTTACCATAAACCTTCAACTAGGCACCCAACCTATTTCGGTTAGAGATGGAAGAACTGAGAAAATAAATCATTGAATTGCAGGACAGTAAATTCATTCGACATAATTTGTCCCCTTGGGGTGCCGGAATCATATTTGTAAGAAAGGGAGATGGGATGTTTAAGTTATGTATTGACTATAGAGGTCTAAACAGGGTCACAATTAAGAACAAATACCTCGTCCCTATGATCGATGACCTCTTTGATCAGTTGTAGGGTGCCCAAGTCTTCTCCAAGATAGACCTACGTTCATGTTACCATCAGGTAAAGATTATGGCAGAAGACATTTTTTAAAACAGTCTTTCAAACCAAATACGGACACTATGAGTTCTTGGTCATGATATTTGAACTAACCAACACTCCAGTCATCTTCATGGACTTGATGAACAGGGTTTTCAGATAATTTCTGGATTAATTTATCATTATGTTCATTGATGATATCTTGGTTTATTCAAAAAGTAGAGAGGAACACGCTCACCATTTGACTTAGGTTTTGAAGGTTCTCAGAGAGAATAAATTATATGCAAAGTTGAGTAAGTGTGAGTTTTGACTTGAGCAGACTACCTTCTTAAGACACATCATATCAAAGGATGGAGTATTAGTGAACCCCGAAAAAGTTGAAGCAGTGCTCAGTTGTGAAAAATTGACCTTGGTTAAAGAAATCCGTAACTTTTTAGGGATGACAGGTTATTACCGCAGGTTTGTGAAAGGATTTTCTAGCCTAGCTGCTCCTCTGACTTGACTCACAAAGTACAACGTCAAGTTTGAGTGTAACAAGAACTGTGAAAGAAGTTTTTCATAACTAAAAAAATGGTTGACTACCACACTTTTGTTGGCCTTGCCGAGCGGATCAGGTGGATATATAGTTTATAGTGATGTCTCCTACTTAGAGTTAGGTTGTGTTTTGATGCAGCATGAGAAGGTCATAGCCTATGGGTCCAAGCAGTTGAAGAGTTATGAGAAAAACTACCTCACCCATGACTTAGAACTTGTCGCAATTATCTATGCCTTAAAGACTTGACGCAATTATTTATATGGGGAGACCTTTCATATCTATATCGATCATAAGAGCTTGAAACATGTATTCACTCAAAAGGATCTCAATATGCATAAGAGAATATGGATAGAACTGCTCAAGAACTATGATTACAATATCTTGTATCACCCAGATAAGGGTAACGTGGTATTCGACGCACTCAACAATAAAAGTGTAGGTACATTAGCTTATTTGATGATTTTAGAATGCAAACAGATAGAGGCACAACAGGTACAGTTTTAGGATCTGAAGATAGTCACATGTTTGGACCACCTGACTGTTCAACTTGAGTTAATCTAGAGAATAAAAGAAGCTCAGGCCGCCGATTCCACCCTACTAGCCCCCAAGAAAGATGCAGAACAGTGAGTTAATTCAGAATTTTGAGTCTTTGCCGATGGGTTGCTCAGATTCTAAGACAGAGTGTGTGTTGCAGGTGACAGTGAGTTAAAAAAAGACATCATGACAGAAGCCCGTAGCTTAAGGTTTGCCATGCATCCCAAAAATACTAAGATGTATCAAAGTATATGACACTAATTTTAGTGGAACAAAATGAAAAGAGATGTAGCTGATTTTGTTTCTAAGTGTTTGGTATGTCAGCAGGTCAAGGCAGAGCATTAACGTACAGGTGGGCTAC